ACATGTACTTTCAGCATTTTAAATAAATCAAAACTTACATGTTGCTGTCAAAATTGCGTCACCAGTGTAGATGAATGAATAGATTACATCTCTGTTCCTGGTTTCAAAGAAAGGTGCTCTGCAGTGCATGTTGAGACAGGCTTTATTCCATATAGTGCTGTCTTCTGCATAGAAGAGCCTGTTTTTCTGAACGGTTGTCCCCAATGGATTTCAGTTTTCTTTTCCAATAATGGAGGATCAGAGCTGAGCATTGTCACAAACACATTTCCAGGCAAATAGATAACTTGTGTTTCAAGTAAACAATGGGTTAGCAAAATTTCCACGCTTTTTAACTGATTAGTTCCCAGTCATTCATGAGTAGAATTATATAGATACAGTGGGTATAGAAAATAATCACCCCCCTTTAAAATAATCACATTTTGTTGCTTTGCAGCCTGAAATGAAGACACAGTTTTATTAATTTCTATGATTAGGCCTGGAAATAACACTCAAATTCCCTGATATTTTCAGGTTTTCCATGATGGACCTAAACCACTTTGTGCAAGCTTTGATTGTGCAAGACAATGTTTATTGATAATCTGCTTTAAAATGAATGTTTTTCGCTTTGCTGTGCATATGTTTCACCACATGGTGCATGTTGCAAGACGCCATTAAAAGTACAACAGGCTAAGAGAAAAATGTGCTGTATACGCATCTCCACCAACTGCTGTTTAGTTCCACTAAAGTGAAACTCTTGTGTCAGCATGAACAGTGAGAGCACTTTCACTTTAATTTCTAGTGCATAAGCTACCTTGCAACTTTCACCATAACAACACGTCACAAGGTTGCCATGATCGGGGAACCTTCAGTGCCTGAGGGAAATGAAAAGAATTCAACCGCAACAGAACAATGCATCTAATCCTTCTGATAAAATAATACTTTTCCGTTACAGCAGGGTGATTTTTTTTCTCGTAATACTTCTCTGCTTCTTGTACTCGTTATGTGTTGTATTCTATTTTTCATTGTGTTCATTTTTAATAATTATTTAAATACCATAATAACTGCATTTTCAGTTTTAGAAAGTAGTTCAAACAAAACTATACATTTCATAGTAACGCATCAGCTATTGTTAACTAAGAAAACAAAATAAAATCTAATTTCTCATTTATTTAGTTGAAGTTGAACTGAATAAACCAAAACGAAAAACTAAAACTATATACACATACATACAAAAATTAATAAAAGTGACAAAAACACACAAAACATTTGACTAAAATCTTAACTAAAATTAAAATGACAACAGAATATATAAAAATAAAATCTAATTTAAAATATTAACAAAAACTATAATAGTATATAATAGTATATATAATAGTATATCAATAGTACATAAAAACCAATGGCATGCATCAGCCTATGTGCAATAGCCTTTCCCACCACAAATTTGGATGTTTCTTAAAACATTTTGTAATTAAAATAAATACTTTTTAAAAATATCAAATTAATAAAATAATGTGACCTCAATTAAAGCAAGCACAAAACTTTATGCCAGTTCTACCATTCCTCTTGGTATTAAGAGTTTAACAAAAATACACTTTTTTTTTTTCTTGTTTTGTACTCCTGTGCATGTTTTGGTTTGTGTCTGTTTTTATACTTTTATGTAGTTTTACTTTTTGTTGTATTTTCCGCATTATTCAATCATAACATTGCTAAGCAGGAAAGTAAATAAATGTCAACTTCATTTTTTGAAAAAAAAAAAAATAATAATCAGGGAAAATAACAGAAATCATATTTAAATATGGAAAAAGTTGCAACAGTGCTCTAATGTCCCGCCCACAGTATCAGTTAAACGCCCCCACACTTTCCATTGACAGGAACTTCCTCAAGGAATACCAGAAATTGGGCATCACAAAAAAAAGATGTCCCGTTTCATTTTCACCCTACCTGACAGGTGTGGTCAGTGTTTCTGGCCGGTTTCATTTTGACCCAGCCTGACAGGTGTGGAATGCCAGGTGTCACTTCTCAAGGTATAAAAGGCAAAGCACAATGTCACATCAGCATCTCACAGCATCTCAGCTTCAGCTACACTCACTGGAAAACAGGTGAGAACTTCTGACAACAAATGTTATATATGTGTTATATATATATATATATATATGTATGTGTGTGTGTGTGTGTGTGTGCTTCTCACTTTTTGTACTAATGAAGATTTATTCCATGATTTCAGAAAAAAAAATGGTCTGGATTAAATTCACCATCATTTGCACATTCATATCTCTCCTGGAAGCCCATAAGGAGTGCGCAAGACACATACAATGGGCGCATCTTATTCAGTCTTTAAATTCAATGGTAAATGTTCTTAAAACAACATAACTCATAACTAATGTATTTGAGTGAATGAAGGAATGAATGAATGAATGAATGAATGAATGAATGAATGAATGAGTCAATGACATACAATGGGCGCATCTTATTCAGTCTTTAAATTCAATGGTAAATGTTCTTAAAACAACATAACTCATAACTAATGTATTTGAGTGAATGAATGAATGAGTCAATTAATTGTATAAAACACATATGCTTTGTGCTTTCAAAGGGCACTGCGATATCTCATGATTGTGCATTTGAGTATGAAGAAGCCAGTCTGTGTGATCTACGTCACCTGGCCAATAGGGTTTGTACATCTGTCTTCCTTCTATATGTTGATAAAAAGATGTTTGATATAAAGTACAAAAAAAACAAAAAACACCTAAGATTAATGTTTTGCTCTTCACAGGTGGATCATAATGCAATCCTTCTGGTCGACATTGTCAAGAAAACAGAAACAATGTACAAGAAGAATCCAAACCCACAGACGTTTATTGAGGCCCTTCATCACACCCATCATACTCTGAGCAACTGTGTAAGAATCACAAATGTGCTATTATAAGGTATAATACAGTCACACAGCTCATTATCAACATGATAATCATGTTGCCTGTGTTTTTTCGGTAGGTTCATCACTCTGACGATGCTGAAAATGAGCCTGTGACCACATGCTTCAATAAACTAGACACTTTTCTTAAGAAAAAGGTAAGATCCTAAAGTATTTATCAGTCTGTCTATCTTTCTATGTATCTATCCATATTAATGTCTATATATTTCTATTTTTACAGTCCCACTCACAGTGTGCATGGGAAATCATTAATTCAAAAGTGAGGGAGGTTCTTCAGAGGCTGGAGAAACACTCCGTCAGAAGGCGGCGTTAGAGACTTTATTATGCATGCATATATTTTATTGCAAATAAGGTATGCCATTTTATAAGCTCGATGGACATATGCATGTATTTTTAAGAAATGCACATTATATACAAAACGTTTCAAATTCATGATTTATTGAGTCGTGAGCAGATTATTGCTGTGTGAGATAATCTTGATCGATATGTAGTAGTAGAAATATAGATTTTTTTCTAATACAATTGTTATGAAATGCAATACTGTAACGCACAAAATGTGAGATTATTGTGAATGTGGATTCTTGAATATTTATGTTTTACTGTTAAAATGTGAGTTTTCTTTGCTACTGTATGTCTATGATATGAACTTCTTATCCATTTGTACTAATGCTACACTCGAAAAAATGCTGGGTTAAATATAACCCAGCGCTGGGTTAAAAAGGGACAAACCTAGCTATTGGGTTGTTTTGACCCAGCTATCGGGTTGTTTTGACCCAGCTATCGGGTTGTTTTGACCCAGCTATCGGGTTGTTTTGACCCAGCTATCGGGTTGTTTTGACCCAGCTATCGGGTTGTTTTGACCCAGCTATCGGGTTGTTTTGACCCAGCTATCGGGTTGTTTTGACCCAGCTATCGGGTTGTTTTGACCCAGCTATCGGGTTGTTTTGACCCAGCTATCGGGTTGTTTTGACCCAGCTATCGGGTTGTTTTGACCCAGCTATCGGGTTGTTTTGACCCAGCTATCGGGTTGTTTTGACCCAGCTATCGGGTTGTTTTGACCCAGCTATCGGGTTGTTTTGACCCAGCTATCGGGTTGTTTTGACCCAGCTATCGGGTTGTTTTGACCCAGCTATCGGGTTGTTTTGACCCAGCTATCGGGTTGTTTTGACCCAGCTATCGGGTTGTTTTGACCCAGCTATCGGGTTGTTTTGACCCAGCTATTGGGTTGGGGTGTTTTGAACCCAGCGGTTGGGTTGTTTTGAACCCAACCGCTGGGTCAAAACAACCCAATAGCTGAGTCAAAACAACCCAACCGCTGGGTCAAAACAACCCGATATCTGGGTCAAAACAACCCGCAGCGCTGGGTTATATTTAACCCAGCATTTTTTAGAGTGTACCTAATGTTACAATGTTACTACCTAATGTTAATGTTCTTGAACAAACATAATAAAGAAACTAATAAAACCACCATTCTGTGTTTTAAGTAAAATACTTTGAATAATTCTAAAAATATTTTGAACAATAAAAAAATCTAAATCTCTTTAAAAAATCGAAAGCACACATCATTTAAAAAGTTCAGTGTCATTTGTTCATTTAGGGTGAATCAGAATTTGATTTCCATTCTTAGACACATTTATTCTTTTCAAGAAATCATATTGTCTGAAAATGACCGCATGATGCTTCAACAATGGCATTTCCTTGCAGTTTTTCACACAAACCAACAGACGGCAGCATAGCTACTATAAAAATAACGGTTGCAAAGCTACTAAAATGACTAGCACAAAGCCAAAGTTCATTTTACTAACTCATTAAGTAATTAAAAGCACACACATTTACTGATGACAGAAATAAACTTACTGTAAATTGAATTTCAACGATCTTGCTCTCTGACGGCATCTCACAGTTTCCGGAAATACAAGCCGGACCATATTTGACAAAAGCAAACTTATCGTCCCGCCTACATCATCTTCCTACACGGAAACGTCGCGGATTCCGACAAGAACGCACGATCTGATCAGCCATTGGCTGAGAGAGCTGTCAGTCACAGATCTTGGATACTATTGGAGGAGGCGCTGCAGAGGAGACCGCTGGAGAGAGAAGAGGAGCGGGGAGGACAGAGTCCCCGAACCGGCACAGTTTCATACAGACTTTAATTTATTCATTATTATATTTGAACATATTATACGTATTAAAACGGGAAAATGGCTCAGACAGACAACAAGAAGTTCTTTGAGAACCTGTCGGGCGCTGGGAAAGCCATAGCGGTGCTGACGAGCGGAGGAGATGCGCAAGGTAGATACATGGCTCCTGAAGAGCACACTGCTATCATTCTGACATCTCATGGTCATTTTTATTTTAAGGTATAACGTTATTGAATCACTGTGTTCAGAATGATCAACATAGTTTCACTTTGACATACGATGTGCATTCTGTTACAGTGTTGCACGATATTCACGGTTACCAGCGTTACATTGGCTGTTCTGTCATTATATCACTCGCACTGTATAAATGAATCCTCATACTTAGTTTTGCTTTTCGTCAGGATGGATGCAATTGCCTCTGAAGGTCCAAAGTGATGGAAATGTAACGTTAGCCACGAGATACTCACAAGGTCACAGCTTTTGCAATGTGATACATGGTTGCCGTTCAGGACCAGCGTTACTTATCACCACTGCATTCTGTTTAGACGGGTTCGTAGAAATGCATGGTGAGGAGAATGAGCAAGAAGCAGGTCGCGCTAAATAAATCCGAGCTCATGTCAGACGACAGAAGCTTTCGTTTCTATCATGTTTCCAGATAGTAGACAGCTTTACTTTATGTAGGTGTTTAGGCGAATGAATGACATTTATTCCGGTATCAATAAATGTCACCGCATTGCGGAATCATGTGACCTTCACGAATAGCACGTAGCGTGTCTTCACTGTCTCCATCAGCCTGAAAGATTATGATGCTCGCTTATGTTTGCTTTACATTAACCGTCATTTTTGTGTTACCTCATACCACATGCTGCTACCTTATTCTGGCTGTCAATCATCGAAATTATGATTTTTGCGTCTTCATCAACCAGGAAGTTGCTTCGTGTTTCACTGTGGCTTTCTCGTGTTTCTCGTGTGCAAATACTTTAAAGGTCATTGTTTCTTCAGTAAGTGATGTGTTTTGTAAAGAAGGGGTGAATTCAGGCGACTTCGGGGTGTAGGAAGCCTAAAGGATGCGTACGTGAGGAGCCGCTGCGCGCGTTTGAGACGAAGAGTTACGTCACAGGAAAATGAGTCATGTGACCAACGGTGTAAAAAGTGCAGTTGTTACCTTAAGAGGGTTCTACCTTTAGTGTAACTTTTGTGAATCTAGTCAGGTTGATTTAGTCGTATTAAACAACATTTCTGTCTTGAATAAAAACAGTTTGTTTAGATGTGCACATGCACACTTTTACCTTTAATTAAAAGACTAGTAGTTCCTTTAGGCAGATGCTAGTCTAGTTTATGAGACCATTCAGGCACCTTTTCTGAAAAAGATACACAAAATAATGATCTTTAAAAAAGCATCATATGACCCCTTTAAGAAAATGTTCTTGCATATAATCAGAGCTGGGTAGATTACTTACAAATTGTAGTCTGTTACTGATTCCAAATTTCATGACAAAAATTGTAGTTAGTGACGTAACCCATTACATTACACATTTTAGGTAATATAATTGGAATACTTTTAGATTACTTTTGACCTAACTCATTTATCGCATTGATTTAAATGACAATCTTGTGCCATACTGATATAAAAATACAAAGAGTAGAAAATATATTCCAGTTGTTGTTATTAACAACATGGAGTGCATTAAACATTCTGTCAAGGTTTCCCAAACTGGGGTTTCTAAAGGATTTTAATGACAAGCTAATAATTAAAGCATAACAAATTTAAATAAATACAATTACATCAACCAAAATAAAACACTTACTAAAAAAGATGTGTGTTTACCTGCATGTCATGTGACCATTAACCAATGTCGGAGAACCGTGAACGTGCAATATTGAAATGATAATGTTATACTTAATTATTCAAATATTTATTTTAAAATCTGAAAAATATTTTAGAAAGGTACATTTAAAAGATGAAAAAGAGGAATTAGGGGGAATCAATAAATTATAAATAATTTATTGCTATTGTGTGAATAATATGTAATCATGTAGTCGATAAAACAAGTAACTATAGTCTGCATTACAAGTATTTTAAAATTTAATTTAATCTAATTACAAGTACTTACTTTTTGGAATCTGATTACATAACCAGATTACATGTAATCAGTTACTACCCAGCTCTGCATATAATATACTATTAATTACATAAAAAGCCACTTTAAAGTCCGCCTGAACCGGAAGTTGCTGCCGACTTTATTTCAGTGTAGTGACGTATTTCCATCTGCAACGGAATATTGAATAGAGGGCATGGTTTTATTTTGGCCCTCCTCCTCTCTGTCTCTCACTCATATCAAACTAACGGTTGGAGGGTGTGTTTAAAAGGATATTCTGCCCAAGCCGTCAAACTGACGTCATCAGAGAAGGACTAACATTCCAGAGCAGAAGCAAATGATCAGATTTTGATTAAAGATTACCAAGACAAACAATTTTTTTCAGCGGATTAACTTGCACGGATGAATTGTTCACATCAAGACTAGCAATGTGCGCTAGTAAAGTAAAAAAAGTCCATTTTGATTTCATGCCGACTTTAAGTGCCACTTAAATATAGTACACTTTCTTAAAAGTGAGTGAGTGACGTGACATGTGGCCAAGTATGGTGACCCATACTTGGAATTAGTGCTCTGCATTTATCCCATCCAAAGTGCACACACACAGCAGTGAACACACACACACACCATGAACACACACCCGGAGCAGTGGGCAGCCATTTATGCTGCGGCGCCCGGGGAGCAGTCAAGGTCAAAGTGTATAGGTCAAGAGCAGTCAAAGTGTATAGTCACTTTCATGACTATACACTTAAAATTGCACTTTTTAACAGTGTCAAATCAAAGGTGTTACTTTAAAGTATTAAAGAAAAGTAAGAGGCTACTCTTTTGTATGCTAAAGTGTACTCCTTCACAAGGGACTTCACTGCAGCTCCTATGAGAAATGCAAATGTTCTTGTTTTGGACTATAGTGTAGGTTACTGTGTGACAAAAAAAAAAATAAATCATAGTAGTTAATGAGTCACCATAGATGGAATGTGTCATTTCTGTAGTGACTCTGTCTGATGTAACTTACATGCAATGTTAGTAATTTCATTGGCCTAACAGCACATGCCCGACATGTACATGTTATAGATGAATTCACTCAATTAGTACTTACAGTGACAGACTCAAAAGCTTGAGCTCACGGTGGCACTGAATTTTTCAGCGCCTGTAGGGCAGATCTCTCACCTTGACACATCTGACATCAGAGAGACTGTTGACTTGAGCTTGTAAGCAACCATCTAGAAACCAGCAAGCAATATTCTTCCAAACCAATATCTCCTTTCTCCCACAGAACACTTAAAACGAATATATATGCAGTTGTATGAACTACTTTTATAGCGTTTTTGCAGTAGAAATTACATGGAAAAGAGGGTATGGAAATCAATTATCAAATGTTCTCTTTTTCTGTATTTCACAGAAGTAAAAATTCATAGTTAATTTTCATTTTTGGGTAACCTGTCCTTTCAACACAGTTGTCTGCTGAAATTTAACCACCTACAATATTCATCCTGAAACTGTGTACGTGTTTTTTTTTGTTTTTTTTTTAAGGAGCTGTTCAGCTTTTCACAGGGTCTCTTTCTTACTCATTCCTTCCCCGTTAATTGCAATGTGTTGCCTAGTAAAATCAATGTAGCTTTCAGTGAGCAAATTTAGCAACATTTTTTTTTTTTTATTATTTTTTTATGTTATGGACATAGCACTTTTATTGAGATAGAAAGCTAGTATTTATAACCCAGTATTAGCATAGAGAGCTATGAGTGAGGTATTATAGGAGGAGGCAACATTTGACCAAATATGGCAGGAAAGGCCTTCAGAGAGGCCTACAATTTTTTATAATATGCTGCACAGTGGGGTTGCAGTAATCCTTAAATTACATTATCAAGTGCAAACCCAAACAAACAGCCAGTTCTAAGCTGTTTTCCCAGTATTTTGCTACAGATATCCTTCTATAACATGATCTGTCTGTTGTTCCTCTGCGTGCAGGGATGAATGCTGCTGTTCGGGCTGTGGTCCGTATGGGAATATATGTTGGAGCCAAAGTGTACTTCGTTCACGAGGTCAGTCTCTAGTTCATTTCTACAGAATTTCGATAAAACTGGAAGAGTGGTATGTCTTTACATGATGTATATACTTATAATGATGTGTAAACATTAATAAGACATTGCTGTATAACATATGGGTGTAATGGCTCTCAGTGTTGTGTTCACTCTCTCCCATTGGCCAATCACTCATTTCCAATATAGAAATGTTACTACTAGAAGTATTATGAATGCACACAGGCATTTTAATGTATTGTAAATAATATTAATCCAGTTCAGAGTTGTTGGCATAGCAGAAGTGTTTCCACAGTGGTTTGAATTAAAGCCCCATGTATCTGGTCTCATATAAACACGATTTTTCCATTAGTATTAGATAGCATCTCAGCTCTGCTTGAAGAGATGTATGGCTGTGATAGGCCGAATATCTTCACCCACTCTGATTTTATGCAACCGCTTCAGTGAAGAAACCCACACATCCATTTTCTCGTGATTCCACACTCATTCTTAAAGGTGAAGCGTGTAATTTCATTTGTTTGAGGCATTGGCAAAGGCAAGCATTTGCTAGTGGTGCAGAAATGACACGCTTCACCTTGTGCTGTGCTGAAACATTTTGTAAACACAAAGCCATGCCTTTGCCAAGCCAGAGCATTGCCTGCCAATCTCCGTAAGCTGGTTCAAATGATTACCTGAATTCATTTCTGGTTACTAAGAGGTCATTCAAGGATAAGAGGTGCGATTTTAATATCGTGTTTGTGTGTTTTACAGGGATATCAGGGTATGGTGGATGGAGGCGACAATATCAAGGAGGCGAAATGGGAGAGTGTGTCCAGCATGCTGCAAATGGTGAGTGTGATGAGAAGCATACGGCCCCTCGAAGCACTCATACATACCAATGCTCACACTGTTGCAAGGTTACGGTTACTACATGGCTTTTCAAATAGCTTTTCCATCTCGTGTTTGCAGTGCTTATGAATTTATATGATTGTGTTCTAGGGCGGCACTGTAATCGGCAGCGCACGATGCAACGATTTCCGTATGCACGAGGGCCGTCTGAAGGCTGCTCATAACCTGGTGCAGAGGGGCATCACTAACCTGTGCGTGATTGGTGGAGATGGCAGCTTGACCGGGGCCAATCTCTTCAGAAAGGAGTGGAGTGGCTTGCTGGCAGAGTTGGTCCAGCAAGGTACGGGCTGCAGATGACACAATAGATATAAAATTAAGTTTATTTTACATACAAATTTACATACAAAGCATTTTATTTGTTCAAAACCTTTTACCTGAATTTATCAGAATTTAGAAAATATTGGTCATTAACTTTTTAGGATTTCAATTAGGCTTAAATTAGCCAAAAAATAAAGATCAAGCAGAGCAGGAGGATATGCAAATAGGGGTGTGTGATATTACGATTTTTGATCGTGGATGATTAAAATGTCTCCACGATCTGCTTTTGAAGAAATATCGTTGAATCGTGCACATTCAATATACTGTACAATGCCACATACATTCACATCAAATGTTAACTCAGCAGTAGAGTTACACTCACGGGACACTGCACTTATTCTCAATCATAAAAGTACATTATTTGCATGTGCTTTAAAGCCTTGCCGGTTAAACATTTCATTCGCGTGCTGTTCTGACATGCGCTTTTTCTGAGCGCATACACCTGAAGCACGCTCACACTAAAAAGCCTGTCACACAGCGCCCGATTACTGGACGAAGTGATCTTTCGTGTCTGATTGCGCTAATACTGTCAAAAACACATACGGTTTACATATAAACAGTTGGTTTTGTCTAAAGTGAAATTAAACAGCTGAGAGAAAAATGGATGTGTGCAGCTCTTAAAGTGACAGCAGTCACTTACTGTTTTAATTTTAGTATTAATATAACATTATAATAACATGTATATTTTTACTTTTTTATTATTTAAAGAAGAAACCAATCCGATGTATAGTTGACATTTGTGGCTTAATATTATAGAAAAGCCGAGTGTTGTCAGTTTGTTTATTTTCATATAAAAATACGGCATGCAGTTGCATCAAACAATGGTATAAACATCATTCAATGTAAATTGCGAAAATCGTAATTAATAATCGCAATTACAATTTCAAGGGAATAATCGACAATTATGATTTTTGTCATAATCGTGTAGCACTAATTACTCACTCTCATGTTGTTCCAAACCTGTAGAAAATATTTTGAAGAATGTGGGTATCCAGACAGTTGCTGGTCTCCATTGAGTTTAATAGTGGGGGAAAAAAATATTCTGGAAGTCACTGGGGACCAGCAACTGTTTGGTTACCCACATTCTTCAAAATAACTTATGTTCAACAGAAGAAAGAAACTCATTCAGGTTTAAAACAACTTGAGAGTGAGTAAATGATGACAAAATTTTCATTTTTGGGTGAACTATCTTTTTAATATTAATAAAAAAACAAAACACAAAGAGAAAAATCACTCACTGCTCTTGACTGAAGAAGTTTAATACAGTTGCTTTAATAAGAATCAATGTATAATTTATACAGTGAAGTGTATGTAGTGTTTTATTTTTATATTTGTTCATTCAGTTTCTTGAACTGCTAAATAAACCTACTATATCTGAAAAATAAAGCATTGTTTGTTTTATGTGTATGTAATGTGTGTTTGTAATGTGGATCTTTGTTCTTATTTTTTAATAACAAAGATAAAATAATGACAATTTTTTTTACTTCGCCCAATTTGGCCTAAATGTCAGTCATTCTTTTTTATTTTATACTTTGTTAACCCTATAAAGGCTTTGTTTTTAAAATAGGGAGAATAGTTTGGCTGTGCTGCTCAGACAACTTGCAAAATAGTAAAACCAACATGACAAAGAATCACGATAAAAACGTGAATCGTGATTTTCCTGAAAAAAATTGTGATATGATATTTTTGCCATATCGCCCACCCCTATATGCAAATAATACGAAAATCTTGGCTATAATGTGATCTAATTTTACATTTTATTGCCGTGTTTAATCGCAGGTCTGATTGATGAAGAGGCGTCTCAGAAATACTCTGCTCTTCACATTGTGGGAATGGTGGGCTCTATTGACAATGACTTCTGCGGCACAGACATGACAATAGGAACAGACTCAGCCCTCCACAGGATTATTGAGGTGGTGGATGCGATTATGACTACAGCTCAGAGGTACTTCAACAATCCATTACAAATAATAATTCAAGTTACACAAATCTAAAATCACATCATCTAAAACCACCAGATGTTTCTTGTGAACGTAAATGCCAGTTTTTTAGTGATTCCCATTTATTGGCTAATCATTATTTATGGATTACAGTCACCAGAGGACATTTGTGCTGGAGGTGATGGGCAGGCATTGTGGGTAAGATTATTACATTATTACAGCTATTTTGGCCTGGATTGGTTAAAAAACATGATTGGCATGGTGTTTGCGCTTAACGGTGAAATGATGCTGCCTACTGTCAAACAAGACGCTGTATTCTATTTATCTGTATGTGCTTGTGTATAAAGCTATCTGGCATTGGTGAGTGCCCTGGCATGTGGAGCCGACTGGGTGTTGATTCCTGAAATGCCCCCTGAGGATGGCTGGGAAGAGAAAATGTGTCAAAAACTCTCTGCGGTAAAACAAAAATGCATCACTTCTCTCTAAATCTACTTGCAGCACTCTTGATAAACTTCTCATATTAGTCAGGTGCTCACACTTGTATTACATTCAGGTTTATTCTTACTAGTTTTTCACCTGGAAAATTGTCAAAACCATTAAAGTAAGCTTGTGGTTGTATACAGTGTTGGGGAAGTGACTCTGAAACTGTAGCTTGACAAGCTGCAAGCTATAATGTCAATTAAATTAACTAGTTAAGCTTAACTTTTTATGAAGTAGGATCTGTTAACTGAATTGTATAGCTTTCCATCACAACTTGTTAGAGATATTCTAGAATATTTTATCCTGGATTTCTCAGTTGTAAAACTATGTTTGCAAAACAGTCACACTACTAAAAAACTGAGTCAAGTTAGCAACTACCCTTCAACACTGGTTGTACATGTACATTTACAGATTATATAACGTATTAATCCCAGAGACGTCTGCATACAGTAAATCACTTTCCACTAGTCCCAATATGTATTTTCTATTGGTTTATAACATGCTTATGTTTTTTGTGGATCAAATGTGTTCACCGTCCAGACGCGATCCAGAGGTTCAAGGTTGAACATAATCATAGTCGCTGAAGGAGCCACTGACAGACATGGAAAAGCTATTACTTCTAGTATAGTCAAGGATGTGAGTACTGAATGTTTTCAAAGGGAGAGAGCAAAAATCTGGAATGCTTCGTAACTGGAGTGACCCATCTCCAATAAGACTCCAAAGAAACACAAATACTTGCTGCAAAAACATGCTACAAATTTTACTACATGCCATATGCTGTACAAGGGGTTTTACACTGACAGCAATTTTCATTGATAACTTGAGCTCAAGTCTTTTTTTTCAGTGAGAGTTGTGTACAGCAGTTGCATACAGCAGTTGACTAGCAACCAGTAGTACAGAGTCTTGCTAGCCTTGACCTTAAGTGCACTGACTTTGACAAAAGGTATAGAGAATTCAATGAACAGTATATGACTTGGTGAAGAGTGCAACAACTTGGCGACCTGACTAAAAGTATAGCTACTTGGTGACTACGAACAAAAGTACAGCAACTTGCTGACCAACAGTACTGTATATTGACTGTATTGACCTTGACCAACAGTACAGCCACTTGGGGACATGGAACAACAATATGTAGTAGGAATTTGTAGACACTGGCCAACAAAACTGCAACTTGGCGACCTCGAAAAATGGTATAGTAGCTTGGAAACTTCGACCAACAGTATATGGAGAGCGACTTGAAGTTGACCAGCATTACAGCAACTTGGCAACCTTGACTAAAAGTATAGCGACTTAGTGACCAACAATATAGTGACTTTAAGGCCTTGACCAACAGCAGAGCCACTTGAGGACATCGAACAACATAATAGCAACTGGTAGACATTTACCAACAGAACAGCAACTTGGCGACACTGACTGACAATATACAGACAGTGACTTTCAATGTACAGACATCTCGACCAACAGTACAGTCTCTTGGCGTCCTTGAACAAAAATATAGTGACTTGGTGAACATGATCAGCAGTAGAACAACATTGCGGACCAACAATATAGTGACATTAAGACACTGACCAACAGCACAGCTACTTGGGGACATTAAAACAAAGGTATAGCGACTTGTAAACATTGACCAACAGTACAGAAACTTAGCGCCCTTGAACAACAGTATAGTAACCTGGAAACCTTGACCAACAGTATACAGATAGTGACTTGGAGATGTTGGCCAACATTACAGTAGCTTATAGGGAATAGGGACTTGGTGACCACGGGCAACAGTACAGTACTTTTTCAACCACCAATAGTGACTTAAAGACCTTGACTAACAGTAGCCATTTGGGGACACTGAACAACAATATAGTGACTTATAGACATGTACCAACAGTACAGCAACTTGGCAATACTGACCGAACAGTATATGGACAGCAACTTGGAGATCTCCACCAACAGTACAGCAGCTTGGCGACTGACAGTATTGTGATTTTAAGACCTTTACCAACAGCACAGCCACTTGGCGAACAATTAAATTGCTGTCAGTGAGAATGCACCTTAACTGGGTTGTATGGTGTAGTGGTTAAATATCCAGGTGGGCAATCTTTGAAGGAGCAAGTCACTATCTCTACTTTGCTCTCAGTTGCTTCAGTAGGATTGGTGTTTCAGTAAGGGGCCACTTCTGTAGCCTCAATTCCAGCTTTTTGAATCTCTCCCGCTGTTTTGTCTTCAGTTTGTGACGTGTCTCTTACCCTCATAGAAACGGGCAGGAATGAAAAGGCTGAATATCATAATAGTAGCTGAAGGTGCGATTGATCATAACAACCAGCCCATTACCTCAGAACATGTAAAGAATGTAAGTACATGAGGTGCATAGAGATCCAGCTCATGCATTGACCCCTGACCTCTGTGAGCTCTGTATGTCCGCCCTCTCTGGCTTTGTCCTGTGTGGTTTGCTTAAACACACACACACTCTTTCTGGTAAGGCACTTGTGGTCACCTCTGAACATAACCAGCTATGGCTATCCTCTACTACTTACTGTATATTTTGACTATTGCACGGCATCAGTGAGTTAGTGTTTTGAATGCTACCTCAAGCAGGAGCATGCACCTCTTCCAGTGCTTTACAGTTCAGTCGTATATGTTCTTTCAGAATACGTAGTGTTACAAGAAACATTAGGTAAGCGTCACTATTAGTATTGCTCATGCTTTATTTTTAAAAACCCTTAAACCTAATTTTTTTAACTTCATTCCATATCTTGTCACTTTATTTGTGATACCGACATGAATGATACCTCAGATGGACACTTAAATAAGCAAAAATAAATAAATACATAAATAAAATTAAAAATAAATCACCTCAGAGAGAAATGGGATACGTGGACTGTACATATGTGGGGCCCCAACCTTATCCGGTACAAATTATCATAAAAATATCATAGAAATATGGGAAATTGTGGGGAAATTTGTCAAATTAACACCAGCATCATGGTATGTGTTATGTGTTACTCGTGCAAGCACTACTCACATTTTCTTCAAGCAATGTAAAAATCTAGTTTTAGTTGCGGAAATGGAAACATTTATGTTTTCTTTGTTCAGATTATTCAGTGTGAGTGGAAGTACATTTCCTCACCCTGAAAAAGGTCCTGCGGGAATTGAACTATTTACAATGTTTAGCACAGTCTCTGAAAACTAACTACTAAAAATGGGCTGCAATTTACTGACTAGCATGGAACACTGTTCTGATTTCACCAATTAATGCTAAATTTCTTATTCTCTGCTTGCGCGTTGCGGCTTTCTTTTGAATCTTTATGCTAAATGCATGCATTGTTATGGGATATTCTGGTCTTCTTTGCTTGTACTAAGGTGCATCATTAAATAACATTTAAATTTAGTAAAACATATGAAGGAATAGTCCATCCAATAAAGAAAATTATGACATTATGACATCATTTACTGTGACTCTCTTGTCATTACAAACTCATATGACTTTCTTTTTTCAATGGGACACAAAAGGGTATGTTTTGTGGAATGCTAAAGCTGTTCTCCTAAATACAAAAAGCAACAACAACAAAAAAAGTGGCCACCATGAAAGTATCACAGAAGTGATCCATAAGACTTGTGCACTATATTCCAAATCATACAATAACTTTCTGTTAGAAACATACCAAAATTTAAGGCGCTTGGACATATAAATATCTCCTTTTGTGTTCCAAGTCATAAGGGTTTCAAAAGACAAAAGGGTGAGTAAATGACTACATAATTTTCAGTTAGGAGTTAACATTATTATTAACATTTTATGTACTGTATGGTTAGTAAACATTATGATTATGGTGATAATTTTACTTAAAATTTCAAAATCTTATAGGATTTAGCTTTTATTTAAATTTGAATGTTATCCTTGTTGACAAAATATAACCTAAAACCTCTGAATTCCCTTGATTCCTATAATTCAACTCTAAATCTTTTTTATTACATCTCCAGTTGGTGGTTCAGCGTCTGGGCTTCGACACACGCGTGACCATCCTGGGCCACGTCCAGAGAGGAGGGACCCCCTCGGCATTTGACAGGATTCTGGTGAGAAACTCTTGGGGATAAAAACAGGAGGGTTGGGGGAGCTTACATTAAGTACATAAACAGATTTGAGGGCCACAAGCTGCACATGCTCTGCTGTTTCCACAATGATGAAGCACAAAATAAAGGCTCAAGTGCACTCTGGGGAATTGAAAAATCAAATAAAAAAAGAATTATGCAAGAATAGAAGGACTTCAGCGTGACATGCTGTCAATCACAAACAACACTTACCCTGTAAGGGCTGGACCCTTGGATTCAACATGCTTAAATTGGTCATAAAATTTGATCTGATGCTCAAATAAGCAACAGCTGGCAAACACACAATAACACACAAGCAATATTTCAGTTTGAATATCTTTACTGAACACACTATGTTAGCATCCTTAGTACATGGTGAAGTATGTAAATCCCTAGGCAGATTTAAAATGGCATGTTCTGCTTACATGGAATATGAACCTATTTCTATACATAAAGTGACTCAGATTACATTAGCTGATTAAGTGCACTACAGATTGCAATGCTGTTTTTTGTGTTTGTTGTCAGGCCAGTCGTATGGGTGTGGAGGCGGTTCTGGCACTGCTTGAGACCACTGCAAACACGCCAGCCTGCGTGGTGTCTCTGTGTGGGAACCAGTCTGTGCAGCTGCCCCTCATGGAGTGTGTGCAGATGGTAAGACTTGGACAGATGCCACGTCGGGTTTAGTGCTGTGATAATCAAGATCCTCACTCATGCAGTTCAGCAGAGGAATGAGAACACAGCATTACTGCTGCACTCATGAATCATTCCGGCATTTGCATCTCTGTGAATTTATTTAAATTTAAATATCTAATTAGTTAAATAAAAAACTGTGTCTGTACAACTTGATCCACTTCATTATAGTAATGAAAATGCGTCTTTTTTTTTTTTTTGCATTAGGAAAAATGTGCTTTAAAGGATAGCTCATCCAAAAATGAAATTTCTCATAATTTACTCACCCTTAAATTGTTACCCGAGTTTATTTCTTCTGTTGAACAAAAAAGAAGATATTTTGAACAATGAGGATAACCAAACAGTTGCTAGTAGCCATTGAATTCCATTGTATGGAGAAAAAAAATACTTTGTAAATCAGTGGCTACCAGCAACTGTTTAGTTCTCAACATTCTTCAAAATAAATTATTTTGTGTTCAGCAGAAGATAGACATTTATACAGGTTTGGAACAACGTGAGTACATTATGACAGAATTTTCATTTTTGGATGAACTATCCCTTTAATTGAAAAAAAAGGGGAGGAAACACGCCAGCCTGCGTGGTGTCTCTGTGTGGGAACCAGTCTGTGCAGCTGCCCCTCATGGAGTGTGTGCAGATGGTAAGACTTGGACAGATGCCACGTCGGGTTTAGTGCTGTGATAATCAAGATCCTCACTCATGCAGTTCAGCAGAGGAATGAGAACACAGCATTACTGCTGCACTCATGAATCATTCCGGCATTTGCATCTCTGTGAATTTATTTAAATTTAAATATCTAATTAGTTAAATAAAAAACTGTGTCTGTACAACTTGATCCACTTCATTATAGTAATGAAAATGCGTCTTTTTTTTTTTTTTGCATTAGGAAAAATGTGCTTTAAAGGATAGCTCATCCAAAAATGAAATTTCTCATAATTTACTCACCCTTAAATTGTTACCCGAGTTTATTTCTTCTGTTGAACAAAAAAGAAGATATTTTGAACAATGAGGATAACCAAACAGTTGCTAGTAGCCATTGAATTCCATTGTATGGAGAAAAAAAATACTTTGTAAATCAGTGGCTACCAGCAACTGTTTAGTTCTCAACATTCTTCAAAATAAATTATTTTGTGTTCAGCAGAAGATAGACATTTATACAGGTTTGGAACAACGTGAGTAAATTATGACAGAATTTTCATTTTTGGATGAACTATCCCTTTAATTTAAAAAAAAGGGGAGGAGTCACAATCCAAAAATTAGTGACATTATTTTGACATTCTTTTCACTTTCTTTGTGAAAAAAATAAATATATATTTTTTTCTTTCAGTGTTGAAATGGATTATTACCACGATATTGCTTCCAACGAATCAATTCAACCTCCCCACCCATTTATAATGGAAGTGCTTTTGTTTGTCTTGTAGACTCAGCAGGTGCAGAAGGCCATGGATGAGAAGAGATTTGAAGAGGCCGTGCGGCTACGTGGAAGGTGCATTTGCTACATATTGTTTGTAACTTGTAGTGTGGCTAAAAAAACTACTTTTTGTTGTTTGACTGTAGTTTAACTTCTTTCGCCCCTGAGTAGCTTGTTCTCTACTGTTTAGAAGTTTGGGGTTGGTAAGATTTTTTAATGTTTTTGAAAGAAGTCACTTATGCTTACCAAGGCTGAATGCATTTGATAAAAAAATACAGTAAAAACATGAATATTGCTAAATATTATTACAATTTAAAATAACTGTTCACTATTTGAATACGTTGTAAAATGTAATTTATTCCTGTGATGCAAAGCTGAATTTTCAGCATCATTAGTCTTCAGTGTCACATGATCCTTCAGAAATCATTCTAATACGCTCATGTGCTGCTCAAGAAACAATTCTGATTATTATCAACATTGAAGACCATTGTACGGCTTAATATAGTTATGGAAACTGATGCATTCTTTCACAAATAGAAAGTTCAAAAGAACAGCATTTACTTATGTATTTGTAACAATTACTTTTTGTAGTCTTTACTGTCATTTTTGATCAATTTTTTGTATCCTTATAAAAAATATTCTTACTGACCCCAGACTTTTGAACACTAGTGTATGTTGTATATAGTTTGAGCATAACTACAGATACAACACTTATATCTTATGAAATATAATAATAACACTAATGTGTTTGTGTGTAAATGCAGGAGCTTTGAGAACAATCTGAAGACGTACAAACTGCTGGCTCATCGCAAACCAGAGTCTGAGCTTCCAAACGTGAGTGTTGTATCTGTACCTGGTGATCTTCTACTAAACACCTCTGCTGACTGACATCAACATGCTGTTGGACCAGACTTACTGATTCACAAGCCCTCACTACATGCTGTGAGCAGTGGTGTAGTCCTAAAGAAAAAAGTGGTTTACTATTACCCAGTAATATTACCCTATTACCCCCACCCCCCAAATAAAGTTTCATTTATATAGTCATTTATTAATATTAATGCAGTGCACTCTAAGACAGATAGTAGTCTACTGCATGACTTCCAGGTTGTCCCAGGTCTGTTGACCACATTACAGTTCTATATATAATTTCAAGTTGCTTTGGAATTGTATTCATTGTGACATTTTTTTACAGATAAATCTGAATTTAATGTTTTATTTTATGCAACTGGGTAGAAAAAAATAACTTGATATGAATTCATGAAATAAATATTTCCAGATAATATTTTCTTAAATTTGCTTTGGCTTTAGCACAGTGGAAATTTAAAAGACAATAATTTAATAAAAAATAATTAATATTTATAAATTTTTCTCAAACGGCATAATTTATACATGTAAAACATATAGCTAATGTTATAATTTAGGAAGGGAATCATCTCCTGCAAGAGGATTTTCCAGCGTGTAGCGTGAAAAACAAAAGTTTTATACAAATAGGCCTATATGGATAACATAAATTACATATAGCCTACATAAAGCGTGCAAAGAGAGCTCCCTAAAAACCTGTCATTCATCTTAGCTGATTGCGATCTCACAAAGTTCCGTTATAATCAATGAATCTCTCTGTACTGCACAATTAATCTTTTATTTACATCGTTATAATAAGATGGTCTCTCTCTCTTCAGTAACTGCATACGGCTCATTCCTCTGTTAGATCTATATTTTATGTAACGGAGGCTCGGGTCGGGGTGTTAGTAAAAATATTCGAAAGTAATTGTTTCACGTCGTGGCCGCACTATCATATTGGTCTTCCTTTTTCGATAGGCTACTAACGAGAGAATGCCTCCACTCAAATCCGTGCACTCACTACCATATTTCCTTACGGCGTGTATCCACTGTTGCAGCACGAGAACTGCGCTCAGTGCGGCTCAAAACACCAAGCGCGAGCGACAATGAGCGGCGTTGAATGACAGAAGTGAAATTGCACCAATTACAAAGAATCACGAATTTCACACAGCAGTATGGGACACCATTAAAGGGGAAGCTACATGACAGTAGATTACGGACTTGCGAAGCAACAAAACAAGTGGGTATACCGAGGGTATACGCAAATATTGATCCTTAGAAGTCGTAATACGCAAACATCCCGGGGGAAAAAGTAAGCATACTTGCATATGGCCCCGACTACACCACTGGCTGTGAGACAGGATTCCACCCCTAGCAGATGCTTCCAGAGGAAACCAAGATGAATTAGTCCTGTCACACATCCTGTGCGAATATTTCTGCTTGTGGATAGCTATTTATAGCTCTATTCTCTAGCTATTATTATCCCAATGTCACCGAATCCTTAAAGGGCCTTTAGTTGTGTTAGCATGTTTTAATGCTTCAAAACTAACATCAGGCAGCAACACTATTTTTTTTTTTTTTTTTTAGTTGACAGTTTTCCACCAAAAGGCTGTTTTTTCTTTTGTACCTTTAATGCATATGTATGCAAATGACCTCGTTTATGATTGGTTACCCTCCACACTACTTCACACTGTTGTTAATCAGTTGCTAAATAATAGGCTTGATGTGTAAACATTGGCCATATGCTGATAAATGTATGTTTGCGCTGTCAATACCATGGTGCTTTTGTGGTGAATACAAGCAGCTTCTGCAGCTAAGATTCCATAAATTGTCTATGTGAAAAAATGAAATAATTAAAATAAATAATTATAAATAATTAAATTGCATAATTACAGAAGTTTTAGTAACTGATTGTTCTTCAGGGTTTATACATTTTTTTTTACAATGAATTTACATGACTAGACATTCATGATTACGTTTTGCACATAGCAATTACCCAGCACTTTCTACCCTATTATATATTTTAGAGCTAGACACAAATGGAAAAATGTATATTTAAGTATTTTTTATTATTAAAAAAAAAAAAACCTTAATAAATAATTATAATTTTCGTATTTACCTGACTTTTCAGGTCTATAAATCACAGTTTCCAATGAATTTACATGACTAGTCGTTCATGAGTATGTTTTGCAAATAGCAATTTCTCCTTTTTATGTTTTTATTTATTTTTTTATTATCATAATTGTATTTTATTTTTTTAAAGAGTTTTCTAGGTTTATAAATCACTACAATTCTCCTATATCTTACATCCAGAGTTTCCAAGACCATGAGAACACGATTCTCAAATAATTACAGCTAACATTTATTATTATTATTATTATTATTATTATTATTATTATTAACTGTTTTAGCTTATTTTTGTTTTGTCGTATTTTGCATAATTTTAAGCTATCTTTGGGCAGTTTTCTGAGGCCCCTAGTGAGTCCCGACTCCATATTTGAGAACCACTGATGCATAGTACTGTATGTTTACTGTTGCTTTTCTAAAAGCCTTTTGTAGACCAGAAAACAAGAGTCTTGAATGGCAAAGCTGCTGCATCACAGTCACAAAAGTCAAACAGCAGAAGTGTCCAGAAGTGTTTAGTCAATAATCATTCTCTGCTCTGGGCTGTGCGTCGAGTTAACGAAAGACCAAATTACCCTGCACCGAATGGAATGGAAAACAGATTGATGAACCAGCCACAGCTGGTTGGAAACATTGTGAAATTCTTAATAGGCATTGAGTGGTCAACACAAAAACACGATGATGATCAAGAAATACCAGGCCTCAAATATATAGACATACCAACTGGTTATATAAATGAATATGGCCATTTTTAATTTGCTTTGTCAGGCTGCATATATCCAGCGAGATTTACATTAATCCACGAGGATGCTTGCTGTATTTATTATAGACAACCGAACACAAGTCAGTAATATAGCTGAAGGCTCATGCTAGCAAACGCTCTGCTGTATTATGAGAAGTGGATTTAATGTAAATTATTGACATGTTATGTCTTCATCCCTCATTCAGAGCAATTTTAACGTGGCTGTGTTGAACGTGGGCGCCCCCGCCGCCGGCATGAACGCAGCCGTGCGCTCTGCTGTCAGAGTGGGCATCTCCGAGGGACACAAAATGTTCGCTGTCAGTGATGGGTTTGAAGGATTCTATAAGGGGCAGGTAAATATTTATCTCTAAAATCCCATATTTAATAACCATCCAGCAGGTTTTAAACTCAGTGGCTTATGGGAGACATTCAGTAAGTGATGTAAAACAAGAACTGCAAACAAGCTTCACATATGTGAGCCTGGAGCACAAAAGCAGTCTTAAGTCGCTGGGGTATATTTGTAGCAATAGCCAAAAATACATTGTATGGGTCAAAATTATCGATTTTTCTTTTATGCCAAAAATCATTAGGATATTAAGTAAAGATCATGTTCCATGAATATATTTTGTAAATTTCCTACCATAAATATATCAAAACTTCATTTTTGATTAGTAATATGCATTGCTAAGAACTTCATTTGGACAACTTTAAAGGTGATTTTCTCAATATTTAGATTTTTTTGCACCCTCAGATTTCAGATTTTCAAATAGTTGTATCTCTGCCAAATATTGTCCTATCTTAACAAACCATACATCGATGGAAAGCTTATTTATTCAGCTTTCAGATGTTGTATAAATCTCAATTTCGAGAAATTGACCCTTATGACTGGTTTTGTGGTCCAGGGTCACATAAGAGCAAAATCCTGTTCCGCTTGGGCCCCATGAGGTAGACTTTCATAATGGCAAATCCAAAATATCACATTATCCAGTATCTTATGTAATTGCAGTCCTGATTACACAATATTTTAATGTAGATAATCAAGTATTGTTGAGGATAAATAGAAGGATGGAGGATAAAATCTTAGATTTGTTGTTGTCATCCTTTGTTGATGTTGATGATTTTCTGAAGACTGGAGTAATGATGCTGAAAATTCATCTTTGATCACAACAATAAATTGCATTTTTTTTAAATATATTAAAATAGAAAACGGTTATTTTAAATTGTAATATTTCACAATATTACTGTTTTTACTGTATTTTTGATCAAATCAATGTAGCCTTTGTGTGCATAAGGGAGTTTTAAAAACATCTTACTTTTGAATGGAAATGTATATTTATATTTAAGTCATATGTTCACATGCACACAAGTTTTGTTGTTTGCATATTTACCACACACTAAGTAAGAATTACTATATTTTTACAGGACACATATACAAATGCTGTTTTGTGTAGCATTACTAGCACAAGCCTCTAGGTTACAGCAAATATATACTGCTCTTTTAAATGGCACGCTCACATCAAGTTGCTCTAATTGTATTGCTTTAGTAATTGCATTAAGAGCAGGAAGTACTCAGCACATTAACACGTTTAACTAAAGTAGACGTTGAAAACAGCACAAGCAGTGATGTCGCTCAAGCCCTGCTCTGCTGCAGGACATGACAGGATTTACATAAACCAATTTACCCCTGCAGTACCACTCTGTGCTGATAGGGGGCAATGGCTAAGAGCTTTCGGAGGAATCAAGATAAACACTGAGCAATTAATTACATTACATGGGCTTGGCCCTTAGATTAAGACATGATCCACTAATTATCTTGTTGAACAAACTCAAGGAGGATTACAAACTCGGTTAGAGAAAGCAATGCCTCATCAAATCCATGTGTTATTATCAATAGTTATTATCAATCAATCAATCAATCAATCAATAATTTTTTTTTAAATAATGTTTTTGAATTCTTATTTTCTCTCCAGCCCTGATACATTGAGAGACTTGTTGAGTTATTTTTGGTTAAGAGAGTCTCATCCATAGCGGAGTTCTCCATTATGATCTCTTTAGCCAGTCTAATCCAATTTAGAAAGAATCCATAGAAAGGATTTATATTTGAAAAACTACACTAAAAATAAATAAATAAATAAAAAGTATTACCGTAAGTCATCATATGGGGCACTTTTGACAAAGACAGCCGAATAATGCTGCCTTGTAAGACACCTTGTAAGAATAAGTACTTTTAAGTATAGACCCTTGAAAAAGTATACTTAAGCATACATTTAAAAAGAGTACTTAAGTGTAAACTGAATGTAATGGTTTACATTTAATATCAAGTTAATTTCAATTCAATGAAAACCTATTGAAGTTTAAATTATATTAAATTAAATTAAATAACATAAAGCAAGCTACACTTTAAAATGCTTTTTTTATCCACTTTAATTTGTGCCTCTTTTGTCTTTTAAATATGATTAATGCATATCGTCGAATTTACTGACACGCATTTATGGTAAACTAAAATATACTTAATGTAATTTCTATTGAAACTTGTTTGTCAAGCATTTAAATGGATTTGTAATTACACATTTACAATGATGAAGTTGCAATTTAGACCATTCAAATATATGAACCTTAAATATAATACTGAATAACACTGTTAAAAATTATAAATTAAGTACTTTACATGTTCTCTAGTATGTTAGTCAACACATCAAGTGTACTTCTTTAAAGCACAACAAAATATTAAAACAATGATTTAAAATGCACTTTAACGCAAAACTTTTAATTTCACATTACAAAGTACACTTTTTAAAAGTACGTTAAGAAACAGACATGAAAGTGTACTCTAAGTACACTTCAGTTTAATTTTATTTCATTCATATTTTATTATAATTTAAAAAAATGTACTTTTTTGTATTTGAAGTACACTACAAGTGCACATTCGATACAGTTAAGCACACTCTTTTTCATATCCATGGACATTTCTGTCATGTTAAATATAAAATCTAAATATAAGTTAAATATATGTGAGTGTGCTTTGTAAGCTCATTTAAGCATTGAGTTATATACTTGTTCTCAGACACGTAAACATGTCAAACTCATTAACTGTGGTTTAGTCACTAATGCAGCTCATGTGAAATATCATTTGTGTGGTGTGCTGACTTGCTGCCTGTCTCAGATTAGTTACTTATGAGGTTTCTGTTCATGTAGGATGGTCTCTTAGAGGACAGCTGCCCATGTAGTGATCTAAGCTGCTCACTCACATTTTGAAGTTTTAATGCACTCTTAGGAAATTTTTGTTGCAACACATTTTTGATCCACTATGCTCTCCTTTCTCAGATAAAAGAGATCAAATGGGCAGATGTAGGTGGATGGACGGGTCAGGGTGGATCCCTCCTGGGAACTAAACGGTATTTATCTTATATACAAAGTTTATGCTGCATGTTTATATACAGATTTTAGTAATGCAGATGATTTTGCATGCAATTTGCTATACTTAGTGCAATATTCTCAAATTTACAGAACACTTCCTGCAAAGCACATTGACAAAATTGCAGAACAGATGCGGAAGTATAACATAAATGCATTGTTAGTGATCGGCGGATTTGAGGTAGGTCTTCTAGCCTGGGCTTTAGGCATTTTAATGTTTTATCTTGCATTTAGTTTCTCACATGAATAACTTAAAAAAGTGATGTGATTTGCTGTAACTATTTTATATAGTATTTTCAAATTATTTTAATATAATTTTGTATTTATGTAAAATATAACCATACAATTAGGTAACACGTTACAATAAACTTAACCTTAGTTAACTACATTAGTTCACATGAAATAACAATGAAAAAAAAAGATTCTAAAGCAATAATTAATCATAATTAGTTAATTTCAACATGTACTAATACATTTTTAAAATCTTTATAAAAAGAAAAAAACTTGTATCCGTTAATATTATTTAACGAACCTGAGCTAATGCAAACTAACAATGAACAGGTATATTTTAATTAACATTAACAGAGATTCATAAATACTGTAACAAATGAATTGCACATTGTTAGTTAATGCATTAGCTTAGGTTAACTAAGAAAGGTTATTGTAAAGTGTTACCCATAAATATTATAACATTATTAACAATAAAAAAACATTTATTTTAGATTAATATTAAAACTATAATTTATTTTGCTAATAAACTATATAAATCATTTTGAAAAAAAAAATCTTAATTTAAAAAGACACTGTTTTGTTAACTTTCCTGCCCTCTCCATCATGTTTTCCTATGCAGTATCACCTAAAGTTTCCCGTGCTCCTGTTCTTTTCATAATGAACATCCAAAAGCATTCAGAAATGGTGAAAATCACCTTAGCAGGCACCGGTTCATCTTTCAGCCGTTTGAATGAACAACATTAACATTCACACAGCTGCGATGACAAATGGCGCCATTAAAGTCCGAACAATGACCCACAATTTCAGAATAGCTCACCTGCTTTTCTAAAGTCATTTCATGTTTTGAGTTGAGGCTCATCTTCTCTCTTTCTATACAGACATCATCAGAATGTGTGTGTATGCATTTTACGCAAGTGTTTCTATTTTGAAGTGTGTGTACGGAGTGGATCCTCTGTCTCATGCTCTCCGTCATGATGGCCATGGCTTTCCACTCGGTTCCATCCTCGTCTGTCTCTCCCATTCCCTGTCTGTCCCCTCGTTCCATCCCCATTCCCTGCACTGTTGGCGGTTCACTAAATCTCCAGCTCTGCCCTGCCCTGCAGGCCTTCCTGGGGATCATGGAGTTGTTAGCAGCCCGCGGGACTTTTGAGGAGTTGTGTGTGCCAATGGTCATGGTGCCGGCCACAGTCTCCAACAATGTGCCCGGCTCAGATCTCAGCATTGGCGCAGACACGGCTCTGAACGCTATCACTTTTGTAAGTGAGGCTGGAGGGCGCCACCCACCAGCCAATCACATCAGAGGCTCTTGTCTTTTCTTTACAAGCCAATCAAGGAGGCTCCGCCTTATGTTTACCAGCCAATCACGTCAGACTATTTGCAAGCACGATAGCAGTATAACTGATGTAGGCTTATGTTTTATTTTTAATTTTTTCCTTTCTATTCGAAATATTTCCTAACGTGTAGCCTAAACTACATCAATATCTCGATTCTCAAATATGTGTAAGTAAATGTGTTTTGCACCTTTATAGATTATGTTATTTGATCAATAAATGGTGATGGGCAAAGTAGACTAATAGTGTAATCTATTAACTACACATAAAAACCCAACTTTTTACTTAAGTAACAGATAGGCCTATGGGTGTCATGCCATAAAATATTTTTAATATGACTGACTTTGTAGTAAATGTGAATTTAATAACAATATTGTAAGTTAGCCTACTAATTATAACACTTTCATTTTACAGAGAGCAATAGCCAGAGTTCAGGCACTCTCAAAAACTCCCATTAAAATCACTGAAGCTGTTTACACTGTGAAATTAATATCTTACTTACATTCGTACGCACATCTGCACGTTGTTGTTTCTGATGAGAGAATTCACCATTCACAGATAATTCAGTCATCGAGCAAGTGAACAAAACACCGCGTTTCAGCGGTGACTCATCTGCACGTCTCTGATTGGCCATTGCATTCATAAGCCCAACAGAGTCGTGTGTGATTGGTTATAATGCAGCGCTTTACAAACGCGTCTGTCTCTGGCTCAGTGTCAGCCAAAGTGCGAACGCAGATTTGAATAGCAGCTGATGCTGTGCCGCACTGAACGATCTAATCACACCGGCGTGATTGTATCAAATATAAAAATATTTTTCGGCTATTTTTTGTCTTTTGGAAGCTGAATTCAAAACCCACTTGGCTCAGAAATCTGAGGGGGCATGTGCCCACTCGCTTTGAATGGGCATGACGCCTCTTGGGTAGGCCTATGTTTTTTGTTTGTTGTTGTCTCATACTTTTAGATACACTGTTATTTGTAAATGCTACTGCTTATGTTAGGTTTTAATATATGGTTTTATCCTGATTAAAGCTTTAATACAACACGGCAACAGCATGCCGTGTTGTATTAAACGTTTCTCGTAGCTATGTGAAAAATATCTGTCTGTCTATATATGCATAAAGTGTATAATTGGAACACAGTTGATCGATGGAGCTGAGAGCTGATGATCTGAATGAGAGAGAGAGATGCAGAGCGTGTGCAGAGCAGGGGGACGTGAGGAACAGGATTAAGAACAGTTGCTTTAGAACATTGATTTTGAAACTTATGAATCAAACTTCTGACTCACTTTATCTTTTCATCTATTTAGATGGATTGTATTTATTTATTATCTATGTTGTTGTTGTTGTTGTTTATATATATATATATATATGTTAATGCTTTGGCAACATTGTGTTACACAGTCATGCTAATAAAGCTTAATTGAATTTGAATCCATTAGAATCGTTAGAAGACAGAATCACGATTCATGAATAGATTTTTTCGTGCACCCCTAGTTTTGACGGCATGGCAGCAACTCTTCCTCTTCTCTAAAGCAACACAACATGCCCTCACCCCCGTGGTTGCATGTTCCGGGTGCCAGGGTTTATGTAAATTTCAGGGTTTGTGATATCACCAACGCGAGAAGTAGCTTGTTGTAGTCCCTACCAGCCGTAACTGTAGGCATTAAACTGCTATAATTTTAAAAGACAATAGGCTCTCTCCGTTTGCATTGAACTTTCAGCATTGTAACTTTGCAGATATTGTTTATGTTCAAACAGCAACATTACACACTAACTAACATTACAAATGTGAAATCGCAATCAACCACCCCTTTAATTTATTATATTATATTATATATTTATTTCATTTTATATTATCATCTCACACATCATGGATCGGCATTTTCTATAATGTATTTCTATACA